TTTTTTTTTAACTGTTTTCATTGTTTTTATTTATACGTTTAATGACTTGACGAAAAAAGCTCAATCCAAAGATTGTTTGTTATTTTTCTTCAAAAATGTTAAAAGAAACAAACACAATGCATAACTTGATCAAAGAACTATATTCGTTGCAAGTCAATGTTTATATCTCGTGAACGTTGTGTTGTATCTTGTTTTTTGAGATATATCAAACACACATTTTTATTATATATATATATCTCTTTTTTGCCACATTCCTCAGTAAATACAGGGTGATTCTTAAATACGTGTCATACTTTGATGACTATACATTGATTTAGATAAAAAATATCATATGAATCTATGTTTTATACATCTTAAGTTATGTATGATTGAAAAAATGTTTAATGTGTCCAACTGTTTGTTGACGCAATGCTACTGTAGACCTTAGCATTAAATTTTGCACTTGCTTGAAAATATTAACTAATTTTAGAATAACCTTATCTCTAGAATAGTCTTTATTTGGAATTGTTTCTGGTGAATTATATACATTATTCTCCTCAGTTAAATATGTGATAAGTTTAATGGATTGATTTTTGTTTAATCTATATCAATGGATATACTTTTAAATAAAATTTCGGTGTACTACGATGTGCCACAGTATGGGATAAGTAGGTGTACTATGATATGCAATAGTATGGGATAAGTAGGTACATTAAAGATTTTCTTATCCATAACTTGCAAGATACATATAAGATACAAATTCATATGATATATTTTAAATATTTTACTACATAGATTCATTACTCAAAGTATGAATATGCATTTTTACATATGAAATTTGGCACCTGTTATTAAAACATAATTTTCATTTTTATAAAATAATTTTTTGCATCCAAAATTAAGATAAGAGGTGAATTGTTTGATATTTTTAAATGTATAAAAATTTTAAATAATTTTTCCATTTTTATTAATTTATTGAATAGACTAAAGTATGGAAGAACCCTTAAGAGAAGTTGTTTATTTTTTATAATACAACATTATAATAAATATAAGAAAGTTCTTATTTGTAAATATAAAAATTGTAAATATAAAAATTTGTAAATATAAAAATTGATGGGAAAAGTAGCCCATTCTCTAAAGGTTAATGATTTTTTACATATTTTCTAAAATATATTTTCGTTTTCTTTTATACGTTTTGTTAAAAAAAAGGATGAAAGTATATAATGAATAATAGAGATGTATAATAAATAAAGAACATTTTTGTTAGATAATTTATTATCATATTAATGCAATAGTAAAAAATTGTTACTTTTTCTTTACAGAGAATTTGTAGATCAAGTATGTGACATTTTGAAGACATTATTTGGCATTTTAGAACCTGGTGAAGTATATCTAAGGTATTCAACAGAAATATCAGAATTGATAATACATCCAACTGCTGTAGTTAGATCACTTATGTTGCATGAAATTTTGTGCATTGTTTCTAATCCTCAAAAATTACCTCTATTGTTGAGAGATGTCAATTTATTAGTTGCTATTATAAATAGGATCGGGGATGAAAATTTGATGGTAGCTAAGTGTGCAATGTGTATAATGAAAGAAATTGGTAAAAATCCAAATGGATTGCAGATTTTATATACAGGTGAACTGTTAAGAAGTTTTGCTAAATTGTTAGCGAAGAACGATACTATTAGTTTTCGCATATATGAAGTTATTGTGGATATAGCAAAATCTTCAAAAGAAGGTCTAGAAGCTTCTGTTCAATCAGGATTTCTAAATAGTTTATTTGATAGCCTTGAAAATGAAGACATATTACTGCAGGTAAATGCATTAGAAATCGTGACGCAATTGGCATTAACAGAAGAAGGATTAAGTTACTTGGAGCAACAAGAAGTTGTAAGAAAATTGGTTCAAAAAATAGCACAGGCTAATGAAAATCCATTATCAAATTTATTGATCCCTGGATTAATGAAATTTTTTGGAAATGTTGCACGTTATTGGCCTAATGAAATATTTTCAAAATATCCAGTTGTTGTATCTGCGTTATTTGAAGTAATAGAGAGTGGTGATCAAACTATTCTTGGTGTTGCCTTAGACACATTGGGACATGTTTCTATGTGTGCAGAAGGTAAATATGCTCTACAAGCCTTGGGAGATGCAATGCCATGTGCATTGAAAAAAATTGCTGAGATAATACAAAGAATGCCTACAGCATTAAGAATTCGTGGGCTTAATAATTTGGCTCTTATACTTGGTGTACAAAAAGCAGAACAAGACAATAGAATTTTATCATTAACAAAATCATGGTTTGATTCTATGTGTGACGATCCACTGGGTATGATTGTGGCATTGTGTAGACAACCATTTGCAGATATTAGACAAGCAGGTCTAGAGGTGATGGTTGTCTTGGCATCTCAAGTATGGAGTCAAGAATACATATCCTCTTATCCAGGTCTTGTAGAATTTCTATTGGACAGGAACATTGAATCTTTTAAAGAATGTAAGGAAGCTAAATACGAAGTTGTCAAACAGTTAGTTGAAGCTGAACATGATATATTTGATGCAAATACAATGCAAAGGTTTAGGGACTTTGTAAATCAAGGACCACATTATGTTGAAATCAATACAGAAGTTGCAATAGAAGGACTATGAGTTATACCATTTTTGTTTTTGTTATTGTATGTTAAAAGTTTACTGGAAATATTATATAAGGTAACAAAGGTAACTTTTTTAAGTAAAATTTTGACAAAAAATACACTATTTATTTTCTATATGTTATATGTACAAATAAAATGTAATCGTACATAAACAAGGATCTATTCTTTTATATGATCAGGAATGCAGATATACAAAGGCAAATAATTTATTATATAAGTAACAATACACATCGTCACATAATACGCGCAATAGTATAACAAAGCATAATTGTGCGTAATTTTTATTCATTCGCGCATTATAATGTCTATATTTTTTCATTGTTTCATGATTTCTTTTTTACATTAGTCACACACAATAAAGACATAAACAACTTTGCGGAATATATCATGTAAAATAACTATGTCGTTGCATCATTGTATGCATTTTCGCTTTTTGGGAGAAAGTATCTTCAACATGGTCACAATAGGCGCTTCGAAAGACACCGATATGATAAATGATAATACATACGATAAAACCAGAACTCCAAGAAAAGTGATCATCTAAAGAATGTACCGTTTTAGTAAAATTATAACTATAATATCTAGAGAAAATAAATTTTTTATTTTTGTATCGACATACCATGGTGTATTTTCCTAAATGAAACGGTGAGTCCAAGTTCATAGCTGTGAGTCGAATTATAAGCGGATGTAACAAGTAAGCGCAATATGTTATTCTGCTAATTGGATATAAAATCGGTGCCGATAGAATACTATTGACGTATCCTACAGGTATACGTAATTAAAATTGTGTTTCTATGTCTATTTGTAATTCAATAGTCAACATTACCAATAAATATTTACCTCCGTAACCTGTACTGCATGCAACGACGATCCACGATAAAGCAAGTGCCCATAAGCTATGACTTAATGAAGAATAAGCAGCTGCCATTATAGGACTAAGTTCTGCTTCATACAGACCATATAATAAACTTAAAAGACATGCCGAAGAAAGAAGCCATCCTACACAAATTGTCGTCTGAAAATGGTGAAATTATAATTACCATTATTTTATATAATTTATATCATTATTATATTCTAATTTCAATATACCTTGGACATTTTTATTTTGCAATCAGTCTTGAAAAGAAAGTATCCTACCGACATGCCTATAAAATAAGGACCCAGTCTGGTCCATGGCTTATCATAGATTTTATCGAAAAGCGCCAATGGATCATCCGAGCTCGGCATATGATTATTTATTAATGCAATGTATCCGGTTGTTAACCAGGAGCTTAATAACAAAGTAGTCATCAGGAAAGTTGCAATTTTAAAGTGATTTGTCGCTAAAACTAGTATTACGGCGCCAATAACGTAGAATTGAGTGTCATCTGCGACGTACCAGCTCCAAATCATGCACTGGAAAAGAATACACGATGCTAGCGACTTGATCATTTAAAATTACAAAGCAAGAACAGACGTGTCCTTCTTTTGATTTTATTATGAACTTTGGAAAAACGATCGGACGACTCACCATTTGATCTACCGGGAACAAAGTATTAATGTAAAGAAAATTTCTCCACCAATAGTTGGGACAGTTATAATGATCCGCGGTTGGTGGTTCAAACACGGAATTCGAATGAAACCATTTCATTGTGACTTGAACTACTCCAAGTACAAACATATACGGAGCTGTGAGCCTACAAAATCTGTACATGAGAAGACCGATGAATTTTAAACCACCTGCGACAATACCCCGCGTACCCTGCGTAAGTTTATTCAAGTCTCCTTTCGCATTTGTTCTGAAGTACAGAAAGCTCACAAGTAAACCTCCCATGAAGAAAAACGTATCGACGCTAAAAGCTCCGTTCGTAATAGTTTGAAAAAGGAACTTTTTCTCTACGACTTTTCGGTACTCCATGTTGTCAGAGTATTTGAACGTGGTAATACAAGTGTGACCCAAGATAACCCAGGCCATTGATATCACTCTAAGACCATGAACAGTACTGATCGTGTCACCTCCAACTTTATTGTCACAAATAACTTTTACATTAGCTTGAACCGAGAAAGAGAGTAACAATTCCTCGAAGACGCCTAGGATCCAAATAACGGAGGATTAGTAATTATCTTTTATCTTCCTCTGATTATATAAAGTTTTTTTTTTATTAAAACAAAGAATTACTTACTAAATTTATGTACTTTGGGACTAGCTGAACGTAGACTACCTTCGTGATCGTTATTGTTATTAATTGTTAATGATTGAGGTCCATTGATGATAGCTTCTGCCGCTGGAACAGGAAGGTAGACCCTACCTTGAAAAGCTACGGAATATAATAATAAAAGTGTGTCACTGTCTTTGTTACTGTCCTTGTCCTGTGCTTGTCTGTAAGCGTTAGTCATTAGTACTTTCGGTAAAGGAGACGAGCATCAAGATACTACCATGTTTCCTTGAAGCCAAAAAGAGGAATATTACAGAAGGAAGGAAATATTCAAAACGTCGGCAGTCTTACCACTAAGAGATTTCTGATTTCTGATGGTTAGCTGATCGAATTTTGCATGCCTTTCTAAATCATAGACCACATTTTTCCCGCGAGTATATTTTCTCGTTATGTAGATATCGTATCCAGTTCCAATTGTCATCAAAACGAAAACCGTAGCACTCACA